TCAGGTTCCTCTGCGCCCAACGCTCCGGCCTGGCCAGGTCCCGCTGGACGGCAGCGCAGCCTCCCGGCGGATCGGCCGCTCCTCCCAGTTTGGTGTCATCACTGAACCTGCTGAGGGTCCGCTCTGTCCCCTCGTCCAGGTCATGGATGAATGAGTTGAACAAGACTGGGATGGGCACTGAGCCCTGGGGATCTCCACGAGCTCCCGGCCTCCAACCAGACCCTGCCCCGCCGATCCCAACCCTCTGAGCCCATGGCACCAGCCAGTTCCCCATCCACCTCTGTCCCCTCATCCAACCCCAGTTCCTGAGCTTCCCTACGAGTATGTGATGGGAGATGGTGTCCAAAGCCTTGCTGAAGTCAAGGTAGACACCACCCACTGCTCTCCCCTCATCCACCCAGCCGGTCATGCCATCGTAGAAGGCCATCAGATTGGTCAGGCATTATTTCCCCTTGGTGAATCCGAGCTGGGTCCTCCTGATCTCTCCCAATTTCTCCATTTGGGGGTCTACGGGGGGAAGAGCCATGGCCACCATTGTGGATTTGGGGTGGAAAAGGGGCTGATGGTGACCAAAACTCATCATTAATGGACCTCTGCTGAGTGCCCCCAGCCTGTGGGGTGTTTGCTTAAGATGGTTGGTAAAGGCAAGCCTAAATTTGCTCTTTTTTCCCCCAATTTTTCCCCATCCGCCTCCCAAGCCACCCACCAGGATGATGACACAGATGGGACCGAGGAACGCCCAGATGAAGTCTCCTTCCATGTTCAGCCAGCAGCTAAAAAGGGGAGGAAAAAAAAAAAAAACCATAAAAAAGGAACTATACCCTCAAAAAATAAGCAAATCACCCACATCCAGCTGCCGTGGCCACCGTTTTGGGGCTGATCTAGCCAAGCCCCCATGATGTTCTCCACCGAAGATCCCACACCGCTTAGTTGACCCCCCCACCCCCCGCCCTGGGTTGCTGGTGGGACTCACTAGTGCTCAGTGCCGTAGCCACGATGCTGGACAGCAGCGGAGATGGTCACCACGATGGCTGGTGTGCCGTAGCCCACCGGGTAGATGTATCTTTTCCTGAAGCGACTGGCGCTGGTGTAGTTGAGGACACTCAGGTTCCTGACGGTGAGGAAGAGATGCAAACCCTCCAAGAACATCCAGGTGAAGCAGGCAAGGAAGAGGTAGTGGAGGAAGCCCGCCGTGATGGCACACGCCAGCTGGATGGGGGACACCAAGGCCATGCTAGGCTCCCCAGCGTCACCACAGTGTGGCCTGGTGAGGTGGTGGCATCTCCGGAGCTTGGAGATGTTCCACACACCCAATGTAGCCTCAAGGAGATAGAGATGCTTTGGGCTGGGGGCAGACCGGAGACATCCAAATGTCTCTTCTAAGCTGAGCTATCCCATGATTCACTTGACTCCACCCACACAGAGGAAGAAGGGACCCAAGAGCCTTGAGGAACCCCAATTGGGTAGACCTGCTTTGAGTTGGGGTTGGTCTGGAGACCTCCAAACATCCCCCTCCGCCTCATTTATCCTGTAATTCAGGCACTGAAACCCACCCTGAGCAAGAAGAGAACCAGCAACCTTGAAGAACCTCAACGAATTGGACCTGCTTTGAGTTGGAGACCAAACCTTCCAACCTCAGTTATTCCATAATCCCAGTGCTTGTACCCACCCGGCATGAGATGGGACTCCTGGCAGAAGGTCTGCTGGAACTTTTAGGGTAGAGGCTACAGCCAAGAGCCTAACCCTGGGTCCTTTTCCCCACAAGCTCCCCCCAAGGACCTTGAGGAGGCCCCAAAGACCTCGTGGAGACCCAGAAGAGTGAAATGACATGCCGAGGAGCCCCTGGTAGCCCAAAGATGCTCAAGGAGAACCTGAGGAACATCTGGAAAACCCAAGGAGGCTCAAGGAGACCCTGAGGAGCATGTGGAGACCCCAAGGAGGCTCAAGGAGGCCCTGAGGGGCATGTGGAGACCCCAAGGAGGCTCAAGGAAGCCCTGAGGTGCATGTGGAGACCCCAAGGAGGCTCAAGGAGGCCCTGAGGGGCATAAGGAGATCCCAAGGAGGTTTAAGGAGTCTCTGAGGATCCCCTGAAGGCCTCAGGATGCTCAAGCAGACCCTGAGGAACCCCTGAAGGTCCCAAGGAGGCTCAAAGAGACCCCAAGGAGCCCATACCTCGTTGGTGGTCTGGGTCACAGCCGTGAGGAAGAGGAGGTTGGCAGCGAAGAGACAGATGCTGAGCTGCAGGTGGAGGGTGACACTGACGCTCCAGAGCGAGCGGCAGAGGAGGAAGGTGAGGATGGTGAGGAAGAGGCAGACCAGCGACACCGACATCCCCACGTAGGTGACCACCTTCAGCGCGTCATCGCCCTTGTCGCCCTACGGGTGATGTCACACGCGACTGTTGGGGAAGGAAGAAAACACCCCAAACCCAGGGATTTTAGGGGTGCAGAAGGGTTCTGACCTGGCGGATGCCCACGAGGATGGCGAAGGTGGAGAAGTGGGTGCAGGCGCAGACGGAGTAGAAGGCGTCACCCCCCATGCGTTCGCAGCCCTGCTCCGTCCAGGGGTCTTTGATGTCCGGCTTCCAGGACACGCACTGCACGTTCTCGCCCTCCTGTAGCTTCTGCTGAGCACGATCCGCTCGTCACATGTCCCCCAGCCCCGGGGAGGGGCCACGCCACCCCTTCCCACCGTCGGTTTGGGTGTGGAACGGGACTGGGGCGCGCTGAGCTTGAATTTGCACCGCGATGGGGATGTGTTGACCCCGAATTTGCACAAGATGCAGATTTGCACCAGGATTGAGATGCACTCCACGGTGTTGTCCCCCTGCCCCCGCAGCAAGCCCAGACCCCACGTGCAGCCGAGGATGATAATGTGCGCCAGCGCCTTGAACGCCATCACCCTGACGGAAAACTTGTTTCGCTCACCCCGTCCCGGATTCGCCTTCTCCTCCCCCCTCCCAAAAAAACCCACCGGCACTTAGACGCCGCTGCCAAAAACCCACCGGTTTTTTTTTAAGGCCGTGACATCGGCGTTGAGGGTGGAGAGTTTGTCCCGCAGCGTCCAGAGGGTGATGAGAAAAAACAGCAAATTAACCTGGGCGGAAAGCAAGAAACAAAAATCATCGGAATTTCGCAGGACTGCACCAGGATTGGGATGCACTGAATCCAGATTTGCACCAGGATTGGGATGCACTGAATCCAGATTTGCACCAGGATTGGGATGCACTGACCCCAGATTTGCAGTGATCCAGATTTGCACCAGGGTTGGGATCCAATGAATCCAAATTTGCACGGGATCCAGATTTGCACCAGCATTGGGATGCACTGAATCCGGATTTGGACCAGGATTGGGATGCACCAGCCCCAAATTTGCACGGGATTCAAATTTGCACCAGGATTAGGGTGCACTGACCCCAGATTTGCACCAGGATTGGGATGCACCACTCCCAGATTTGTACCAGGATTGGGATGCACCACTCCCAGATTTGTACCAGGATTGGGATGCACCACTCCCAGATTTGCATGGGATCTGGATTTGCACGGGGTCGGGGGATGCACTGACCCCGAATTTGCACGGGGTATGGATTTCCACCAGGAAAACCAAATTTGTACCAAGATGGGGGTGCACTGACCCCAAATTTGCATCGGATCCAAATTTGCACCGGGACGGGATTGCGCTGAACCCCAATTTGCACCGGATTCAACTTTGCACCATCCCGGGGATGAGCTGAGTCTTGCAGCAGGACAGGGGTGCACCAAATTTGAATCAGCACCAGGGTGGGGATGCACAGAATCCAAATTTGCATCAGGGTGGGGATGCACCAACCCCAAATTTGCATCAGGGTGGGGATGCCTGGACCTGAATTTGCACAGGATCTGGATTCACATGGGGATGGGGATGCACCAAATCTGAATTTGCACCGGGATGGGGATGCACCAAGTCTGGATTTACACTGGATCCGAATTTGTGCCAAGACACTGATGCACCAAGCTCAGATCTGCACAGGATCCAAATTTGCACCAGGACAGGGATGCACCGACCCCAGATCTGCACTGGGGATCCAAATTTGCTCTAGAATGGGGATGCACCAACCCCAAATTTGCTCAGGAGCCAAATTTGCACGGGAACGGGGATGCACCAACCCCAAATTTGCTCAGGATCCAAATTTGCACCAGGACAGGGATGCACCGACCCCAAATTTGTTCAGGATCCAAATTTGCACCAGGACAGGGATGCACCCACCCCAGATCTGCACAGGATCCAAATTTGCACCAGGACAGGGATGCACCCACCCCAAATTTGTTCAGGATCCAAATTTGCACCAGGACAGGGATGCACCCACCCCAGATCTGCACAGGATCCAAATTTGCACCAGGACAGGGATGCACCCACCCCAGATCTGCACTGGGGATCCAAATTTGCAATGGAACGGGGATGCACCAACCCCAGATCTGCACTGGGGATCCAAATTTGCTCTAGAATGGGGATGCACCAACCCCAAATTTGCTCAGGA